TAATATTAGTTAACCAGTTCTAGTGGTGACTATGTAACACAGATGCAACAGAGCAGGAGGAGCCTTTGAGGGGAATCACAGACATGCCAAACAGTATTCATTCTAGGAAAGAATATATCAAATAAATTGCATTAAAATCACAGAACATGAATAAGTACTGTGCAAGTCTTATATGACAACCAAAAAAAAAAAATAATGGGAAGGGCAGAAAAATATGCAGCTCTCAGAATACTACTATAGACATATAACACTTGAGCAGGAAACAAATACTGAAGTGAGTCATAGCAGTGGGCCTGTGTGTGCTTTTCAATAATAGGGAAACTCAAAGCAAACAAAAAGAACAGGAGTACTTGTGACACCTTAGAGACTAACAAATTTATTAGAGCATAAGCTTTCGTGGGCTACAGTCCGTAAGTGGCTGCGTAGGGCACCCAGAAATTTAGGGCACCGCTGGGTCTTAGTGTCCACCCTCCCTGCCTCTTCCTATCCCTGTTCTGACCCTTCCTGCAGGCTCCCTCAGCTAGCTCCTACAGCAGGGATCTCAAACTCAAATGACCACGAGGGCCACATGAGGACTAGTACATTGGCCCGAGGGCCACATTAACTGACATCTCCCCCCCGCCGCCCTCAGCCCGGCCCCCACTCCACCCCTTCCATGAGGCCCCGCCTCTTCCCACCCCTTCCCTGCCCCCATTCCAACCCCTTCCCTGTAATCTCCACCCCAACTCTGCCCCCCTCCTGCCCCGGGGGGCGCAGGAGGGGTGTGGGGTGTGGCGGGGGCTCAGGGCAGGGAATTGGGGTGTGTGGTGCAGGAGGGTGAGGGGTACAGCAGGGGTGCAGGATGCGGCAGGGGGCTCAGGGCAGGGGTTTGGGGTGCAAGAGGAGTGCAGGGTGCGGCAGGGGGCTCAGGGCAGTGGGTTGGGGTGCAGGGTGTGGCAGGGGGCTCAGGGCAGGGGGTCAGGGTGCAGGAGGGGTGCGGGGTACGGCAGGAGGTCGGGGTGCAGGAGGGGTGTGGCATGGGGCTCAGGGCTGTGGGTTGGGATGCAGGAGGGGTGCGGGATGAGGCAGAGGGTTCAGGGCATGGGTGCAGGGTGCAGCAGGGGGTTCAGCTGCAGGAGGAGTTCGGGGTGCAGGGTGCGGCAGAGGATTCGGCTGCAGGAAGGGTTCGGGGGGCAGGATCTGTCCTGGTGCGTACCGGGGGCAGGGCAGGCTCCCTGCCTGCCTGTCTGCCCTGCCCCCACGCTGCTCTGGGAAGAGGATGGAACGTGGGGAAGGGGGGGCGGAGGGGCTGTGTGTTTCTGTTGCTTCTGTTGCTTCAGGCACCGCCCCCAGCAGCTCCCATTGGCCGCAGTTCCCCGTTCCCGGCCAATGGGAGCTACTGGGGGCGCTGACTGAAGCAACAGCAACACACAGCCCCTCTGCCCCCTCCTTCTCTTCCTGGAGTGGCGCCGGGCAGGGCAGGCAGGCAGGGAGCCTGCCCTGCCCCTGGTGCACGTCCGGCTGGAGCCGCTCTAGGTAAACACTTGTGGAGGGCGGGGGGGCTGCGAGGGGCTTGCGGGCCGCAGAAAATAACCCCGCGGGCTGCATGCGGCCCCTGGGCCGCGTGTTTGTGACCCCTGATCTAGTCTGACCTCTTGTATAACATAGGCCATAGACCTTCCCCAAAATAATTCCTAAAGCAGATGTGTTACATTGGCACCAAGTTTCTAATCTGCTGGGGGGTGCTCCGCCCAGGCCCCGCCCCCACCTTGCTTCTTCCCACCCCTGCTCTGCCCCCACCCCTTCCCGCCCCTGCCCCACCCAGTTCCACCCCCTCTCCCAAGTGCTGCGCCCTTGCTCCTCCCCCATTCCCCCCAGCGCCTCCTCATGCCATGAAACAGCTGATCTGCAGTAGGCTGTAGGAGGGAGAGGGAGGCGCTGATCTGCAGGGCCCACTGGCAGGCAGGAGGCACTGGGGAGAGGGGGAGGTTTTGGTAGGGGGGCTGCCAGTGACTGCTGAGCACCCACAATTTTTTTCCCGTGGGTGCTCCAGAAAAACATTGGAAAAACATCCACTCTTTATTTTAAAATTGTCTACCTTAAACTTCCAGTTACTGGACTGGGTTATTCCTTTCTCTGCTAGAGTGAAGAGCCCATAATCAAATATTCGTTCCCCATGCAGGTACATAGAGATTGTACTCAAGTCACCCCTTGGCCTTCTCTTTGTTAGACTCAAGGAGCTCACTCCACTTAGCATATCACTATAAGGCATGTTTTCTAGTCCTTTAGTCATTTGTGTGGCTCTTCTCTGAACCCTCTCCAATTTATCAACATCCTTCTTGCATTGTTGGCACCAGAATTGGACACAGATGAGTTTTGCATTTAGAGAAGAGTATTGCATTTACTTCTGAACATGGTGAGGTCAGTGGTTTTTCTTATCTCTTGCGGGGGCAAGTTCTCTATCCTCCGTCCAGCTACTGAAATTTCTGCCTCCTACCATCACAAGCCTTCCACTTTGGATGACTGTTTCATTATTCTAGTGCAACGCTAGCTGCTGTGGGAGGCCCTGATTGTGGCAAAAAAGTGATTTTTACCCCCCCAGGTAGCTAGAGCCAGTCCCCTGGGAGAGTTTCTGTTAACATCAATGGACTCTGGATCTGGCCTTTAGTGCTTATGTCCTGATGCATGTGGGCTAACAAGTGTTATACTTTTTAATCTTAACCAGTACAACAATTGTCATATTGTGTATAGTTTCTGTTACTCTCATTAACTAATTCTGAAGAAATTGCACTGGTCATCTGTAAGGAGCCACAATCAAAAATGTTGCTGTTAAAATATTTTCTAGTTATTTTTAAAGGCAAAGAAAAATCAAAATATTCATAACACTTCTTCCTTCTTAGTTGAAGCATATAGACTTCTACTTAAAATGAATATGCTCTGTGCTTGCCTAACAATTATCACTTGAGATTCAATTCAGCAGAGATTCAGCACTGTTAACAAGTCAATACAAAATGTGCTATTTGTCACTGAGCCTGCTGTCAGATTGCATGATGCTTCTTCACTTTGCCCAATCTGTTTGAGAAAGGTCTTCATGATTCTGTGTCAGGCAATATCAGGCTTATTCAAAGAAATTTATGAAGATTAACAGTCAGATTGAAAGTGATCTGAAGAGGGGCTTTTTGATTATCATAAAGAGACTTCCCTTATAATACTTTCTGAATGGGATTAATTTATCATTGAGTATCACTATATCATCTATGACAGCCTGTTGGCCTGAGTACATGATAGACGTGGAACCTCTTGCAAAATGTTGATGACGACTGCAGTTCGATGCTGGGGGATATGATTCTGATAGTTTTGTATGGTGGATGTAGAAGAGATCATGATAACTTGTGATTCATGCGAAGAACATAAAGGCACCATACTTCAGTTATCAGCACCTATTTGCTACTTCCCCAGGTATTATACTTTGCAGAATTGTAGATGTGACACTATCCAACAACAGTTCCACAACAAGTGAAAATTACTGGTGACCCACCATGCTTCAGGCAGATTTCATTGTCAATTTAAAATGATCTTTCTTGTGTTCCATAGGAAAGGTGCTCAGATACCACAGTGATAACGAATAGGAGATGATGGCTTGATCCTGACAGATGCTGAGTACCTCTAATTCCCATTGAATTCGGTAAGAATTATGGGTTATCTGCACCTCTCAGAATTAGACTTTTAATACTGAGCTAGATTGGTAAAGAAGGTAAGAAGAAAGAAATCAGTGGTTTTGGCAATGTGGACAGGGCCTAAGTTGGTCACTGGAGAACCACTAAGATTTCCAGTGCAATTTTGTGCTACCTTTAATTAAAACCTTAGGCAAATAATATTGGGAAGCCACTAGTATTAAACTTCAATGGGACTAATCATGTGCTTAAAGCTAAGCATGTGCTTAAGTACTTGGCTGGACTGGAGACTAAAACAGGTTTCTCAGTATTTGTATCGTGACTGCCTGTACAGTAATCATTTATTCTAATCTGAGCAAACAAAGAAAGAGCTTCCTCATGAGATAATCAAAAGCTTTTATTTATTATTGCTGAGCAACCCAAATTAAACAGATAAATGTTAACATTTCCTTTAAACTTTGTGTATGAAATTGGCACATAGAAAGTCAGCTTTGGTGTTGGGAGTTGACAAAATCAGAGACAATATTGTGCAATATTACATACCAGTTTCCATTTCATGTAGGCAGGGTAGTTTTCAGGGATGAGCACAGAGTTAGGAGTCAAGAACTCCTGATTTTTAACACCAGTTCTGCTACTGACTTGCTGTTTGGCCTTACACAAGACACTTTTATCTCTCTGCCTTATATTCCCACCTATAACATAAAGATGATAATTTTTTGCATGGGTGTAGTGAGCGTTACTTAGTCAATGTTCCTATAATGCTTTGAACATTTAAAGGTCTTTATATAAATTATTGTTCTTATGCTGTGTTAAGATCAGAGGCTTCCATGTGACAGAGCCACATGTTTGACTGGTATTCAGTTAGTTTTGCCCAATAGATTCAGCAACAACTTCTATCTTTCAAATCTGGCTCTTATCTCAGAGATCTTTGAGCTCCTGTCTATCCCACAGTGCCCCCAAAGTCATGGTTCCATGAAGTGTGGTATCAATGTTCATTGAGCTCCCTTTTCCCAGCCCTGCTGACAGCCACTGCTACTGCTGCTAAGTCTCTCTTTTCTGGAGGATACTGGCCCGTCTTCAATTGCACTAACCCCCAGAAATTCTATGGAGGGTTCCAGCCCACTTGGTGATCTTGGGAAAGGTGGGGGTGGGGCTGGTAGGGCCACTGGAATTATCAGTGTTACATGGATTACACTACTGTAATTCTTGATTTACAGGGAGCTTGTGATGACATGGTATCCAAAATGCAGAATATAAAGAAGGAACATGTTACTTCTATGAACTGCCTTACACTGCCCCCCCCCCCTTAAATTTCACCTACCTTTTAACTCCTTCTTACTTACTTGTAAGAGAGACAAGGTGTTTCACTGGAACAACTTCTGTGGGTGAGAAGTTTTCGAGCTACACAGAGCTCTTCATCTCTTATTTACTTGTAAGGCACTTAATGCAGCCTAATGGAACTTTCATCATCAAATGCCAAATCTGCAAAAAGAAAAAGCCAAGATCTACTTACAGAGTTGCATTACAAATCTCATGTTTGTATACAAACAGCTAGTCAGGTGGCTAAATTGACCTTGGGCCTCTCCTTCTGAAAAGTTGGCATTAGATTTCCCCGGTCAGCCTCTGAAATCAGAACCAACATGTTGATTTGTTTATCTGAAATGCAAGCTAAAATTTCTGAGGTAGGGCTTATAACTATATCAGCTGTGGAACTCTCATGCTCTTTGGTGCTCTGCATCCAGCAATTGCCTGCTGCTTCAGGAAGAAGTGGGGAAACCCAGTATAATACATATAATGCTGCACATCAGAAAACAATTCCTTCCAGACTTCAGATACAACCAGTTTATACCAAGAAGCATGAGATATTAATATCATTGTCATTACCTAAATTCTCCTAATTATAAATGGCATTAGTGGTCATAAAATCTTGCACTTAAAAAAATCCAAACATAGTAATTGTTTTAACAAATCCCATTCAATATTTGCTAAACAGAAAAATTAAGATAGCCTGGTCAGCAGGATTTGACTTCAAGGCTTCTGAATTTGTGAATAGTTAACTATCATGGAGTTGGTCATTACTGAGCCTCCTAAAAAAATACCTTTAAGAGACAGGTATTTTAAAAATTATGTAACTATAAACTGCTGCAGTGCTGATGCACACCAAACCTCTTCAGCTATTCAGCAGTGCACCAAGTGCACTGTGACTCAGAGACAAGCACTGAAAGTGCTTGAGCTTCTAGGCCCTATAGCCTCTACCTCTGGCCACTGGCTCTGTGTTCCCAAGAGTTCCCTTCCTGCTTCTCTCTGCTCAGTCTTCTAGCTGCAAGGCCCCGCTGCTTCCCACAACTGCTGCATAGATCTGAATCTGGTAGCAATGTCTGCCAGTCACAGTCTGTCCAGGCCTGGCTCGCCAGCTCTCAGTGCAGTCTGCACCACTTTCTCTTTGCCTCATGGTTGCTCCCATCTTGCCATGTTACTGCTGCCACCCTAGCCGAATGGTTCCCAAACTGGGGTTCGCGAACCCCTGGGAATTCGCGAAATGTTACAGGGGGTTCTCGGGGAAAAAATTCCCTAATGGCGGACAGAGCTGTCCCTAGGAATCCTGGGCAACACGGGGCCAGCAGCTCGGAACCCCTGAACTTCCAAGAGCTAAGCAGATCAAAGCAAGCATAAGAGGAGATTTAAACTTCAAGACTCCTTATCAGAAATGGAAAAGGAGATGGATATTTTTTGCTGTTTTTAAAATTAAATAGGTAGCTAGTATTCTTTTTAAAATTATTATGAAGAACAAGCTTAAGCTTTGTTGTAACGTGCGCTGTTTGCCTGGACTGCTCAAGACCGGAATGCTTGTGTAGGAGGAACTCTTTGAGTTGGCTTCTTAAATACCTTCATGCTGTTTCACATCTGATACTCCTTGATGAAACATAGGAGCCTTGTCTTATAACTGGCTTATTCACAGTGATACAAGCTACGAAAGTGAGATCTTGAAAGAGAGTGTTGCCATTTTCATAATGTAATAAAAATACTGCCATGATAAATCATAATTAGTAATAAATAGTGTGTAATAAGCATGTCATAAAAACAAATGTTATATTTCCAAGATCACTGCTTTTATAATTTATACTCAGGTAAATGAGAAAATCCCTGGAAATATTCATTTTTAGGAGGGGATGCATAAGACTTGACATTTTAGTGAAAGGGGTTCACAGGTTGTTAAAGTTTGGGAACCACTGCCCTAGCCATAAATGGCCACTGGGCCACAGAGCAGACATCAGTTCCATATGTATTTAAGCAAGAGTAATCCAATTTGCATTTTCATATTTTATTCTTGCTTTGTTGGTTAGTACTGCAGATCTGTCAAACCTTACATTTTTTTGCTGAAAACTTTTTTCCTCCATAACTGAAGTGGAAACAGTCATCCCTCCATCATCCAAACCACTTCCCAAAAAAACCTCTTCAAAGTCTTCTGCCTCTTAAGAGAAGTATTAAAACCCAGTGTATTTGTTCTGCAGACTTATTCCTACTGAGTTTGTGATCTTGTCATCTGTCTATAAAAGACTCATTTTCAAGGAGAATGAAAAATGGATCTCTTCTATTATGAGAGACTCACCTCTGTATGCCTGATTGGTACTTTCAGCTATCATGACAGTGGCTACCTAGCAACCATGTCTTTCAATTCTAGACAGCTTTATTTAAAAATATCTCTCTCTCTCTACCAGTGTAGTGGGGAAGATGCCTTAAAATATTAATTTACTTGGCTGTGATAAGCTAAAGCATCTCCTTTTACAGAAATTTTAAAAAATGTATCAACAATATGGAGAAACACAAAAAAAGCTTATTTGTTAGCCGTATAGGTGTTCCTGTTTATGTTCACTGTACTGCCCTACTGTACCTCAGACTGCAAGATACAAAAATTTTAACCTGTTGCAAAAAGCCTACAGAACATTAAGATGTACAAACGTAAATCCCTTCAACACTAACAAAAACAGCACTTCATAACAATTCAGACCCATGCTAGTATGTGGTCTTTATACTTATGCTAAAGAAGGAATTGCTGTTACTCCTTTAATGTCACTGCTTATAACACCTACTTTTTTGCCCAGAAGGCAGGGTGGCGCTTTGCTTTAAACAGAGGAATTAGTTGTGCTTGGTGTCCAAATACAAAAAGCAACCAGTGGTAGCAAGCAGGACAAAGACAAAGGAACCTGACTTAACCCTGAATTAGGTTAAACTTGTCAAGTTTTTTCCCCCTATGACAATCAAAATTAAAAAGAGGCTATATATATAATATATATATATTGCACAGAGCTTATTTAACTTTTTTCCAGGCTATAAGGAACAAAACCTACTGAAGAAGAAAATCTATTCCTCTTCATATTCACATTGCGACAGTTGTAGTAATTCATGGGAGAATATAACCCTTCCAAAAATGTTTAATATGGTTTTACATTTAACCACAACACCATGGTGTTCTGAACTTAGGCCTCTTTCAATAGTTTTTTTCAGTGTTCAGACCAATTCCTCCATCGCATCATTTTTCACTTGATTCACAAGAACTGTCAGGAATACAGAAAGTTCAGATAAGGAGTTCATGTTATGACATTATTCAAAACTCTTTCATTGTTAGTTGTCTTCCTCTGTCTCTCATTTACAATTGGCTCATTGTAGCAGTTGTGTCCTACATAGTATGGTATGATTGTTCATAGGACTGACTAGTTTTTTACTTCAGGGGTTGTAGGATCCGACAGTTACTGACTGCTAATTTTCCTTTAACTCACCAAAGACCTGATATGAAGAGATAATGAGCATCCATAACTTCTTTTATAGGTAATGGGAGCCCACACCTCTCAGAATTAGGTTTTAGTTGTCTTCAGTTGTCACATTTTTCTGCCCAAATCTATAAAACAGCACAGATTGATTAGTTATTATTATTTTATTCTTTATTCTCATGCTCTTATGCAATCATGCTTTTATCATCATGTGTCTCTGCCCCAAAGAGCTTGCAATCAAAGTATAAGATAAGAGACGAGAGATAGCTACAGAGAGATGGGTAAGTACAGGGAAACAATGAGATAATATTGGTTAGCATGATAGGCTGTGGTCTCAGCACACCAGCAGCCTACCAAAAGAGAGTTTTAAGGCATCACACCAAAAGAGAGTTTTAAGGAGGGATTTGAAGGAAGATGAGAGTTTTGTGGATGCTTACAAGCAGCAGCATGGGCGAAAGTATGAAGATGCTTGTTTACAAACTTAACAAGTGGGTGAGGGATGCTGGCATCATGGACTGATCAGAGGTGGGAGTCAATCATTCGATACTGAATGAAAGAGGATAGGTAGAATAGGTAAAGGCGGTGAAGGGCCTTGAAAGTGAAGACAAGAAGCTTATGTTTGATGTGAAAGAGGAGGGGAAGGCAGTGGAGGGATGCAAAAAGAGGGGTGACAAGGTCAAAGTGACAAGCTAGGAATATAATCTTTGCAGCAGCATTCTAAATGGATATGAGTGGAGTTAGATTGCATTTGTCAAGCCCAGAGAGGAGAACGTTGCAGCAATTGAAACATGAGATGGTAAGAGCCTGAACAAGAGTTTTAGCTTTATGGATGGATAAGAAAGGTTGTATCTTAGATACATTATGTGGAAGGATTATGCAAGATTTTAACATTGCCTGGATATGAGGTCCTACAGAGAGAGGGCTGAGTTGAAAATGGTACCCAGGTTATGGGCCAAGCAGGATGGTCGTGTTGTCCACAGTGATCAAGAAAGGAGGTAGAGGTGAGGGTTTGAGGGAAAGATTAAGAGCTCTGTTTCAGCTGACATCTAAACATCCATGAGGAAATGTCAGAGAGACAGGCTGAGATTTTAGTTTGGATAAGAGGAGATAGGTCTAGAGTAAAGAGGTAGATCTGTGAAGAATCAGCATAGAAATGGTACTTGACTTTCTGTTAGTGGGTGAGATTACCCAGAGAGAAGACGTAGAGGGAGAAAAGATGGAAATGAAGGACAGAGCCCAGTGAAAGCCCCCACAGTTGGGGGGTGAGGAGAAACCTCCAAAGGCCACATTGAAGGAGTGATTAGAAAGGTAAGAGGAGAACCAGCAGAAGACAGAGCCACAGAAGCCAAGGGAAGAGAAGATTTCAAGAACAGGAGCATGGCCAACTGTGTAGAAGGTGGTAGATAGGTCAAGGAGGATGAGGATGGAGTACTGGTTCTGAGATTTTGTTAAGAGCTCATTAGAGACTTTGGCAAGAGCAGATTCAGTTGAGTGCAAGGGATGAAAGCCAGATTAAAGAGGCCAAAGAAAGAATGGGAGCAGCAGAACTCCAGACAGTGATTGTAAACAGCATATTCAATCTTGGAGAGGCAAGTGGAGTCAAGGGTAGGTTTTTTTTAAGATGGAAGTGACTGAAATATGTGAAAGTAGTTGTATGCATATAGAAGCTCTTCTTTGGTAGCTTGCAATCATTCTCTGTCCCTACTTGTGAGA